AGGTAATTCGAAGGAAAAATAAAGTGTTACTGTTTCTTATTTGTAGGCGGTTTAAGAGAAAAGACCACAACATAATGAACTAATTCATCACAATACCTGAAAATTCTGACTTCACTTTTTTTGAAAAATGAAATTGTCTTTCCTTTTACTCCCGATCAACAATCAAATATCTTTTCTTGAATTATGAATAACATGAATGGATTGAAATATTGAATTAAATTATCTCAAAATAAACCTTCATTTCGGTGCAATATTGAAATTAGCTTGAATTATTCATAACCTTTGAATAGTGGGTGACCCAAGGTTGTCTAGTATTATATAAGACTACGAATTATGGTAAAGGAATTTAATTTTAAAAAAAAAGTGAGTTATAAAATTCTTGAAAGTCTAAAATTGACGAGTACTTTCTGTGTGTGTGTGTGTTTTCTGATTTAAACTTTTTGACATCTTTTAAACCACAACTATTCATGTACTATCTTGTTAAACACACTTTAAGTGAAGTCTGCTATTTTTCTGTGACAGGTATGGGACCACTCCTGGGTGGTCGTTCCCGATAACGAACTTTGCATGAGAATATGGTTTGATGGAGCTCAAGGAAATCCCAATAAACATGTGGCTGAAGTCTATGTGGAGAAACTACTAGCAGGGAATGCTTGTTGTATAACCTCTCATCTTTTTATAATAACCATTTGCTTACTGAGCCTTTTAATTTAGTTTTCTAATGTTTGAAATAATATTCAGAATGTTAAATAAGATTACTCTTTACAAGTAGTTTAGGTTTTATTTTTGTGATTTGCAATATTTACCTTGTTAAAGCTACATACAATAGTAGCATATTTTTTGTTTGTATTGTTTATAATTAACTAGTAATATTTTAATGATTCTTACACTTAAAGGGGAACTGTTTTTGTATCTTATGCATATGAAATTGTTATGACTTCTTTAAGGAATAACACAACTCTAAAATGCGATAAAATATAGGACAATTTACCGTGTGTTCCATGGGTAACATTTTATTATGCTCCAGTTTGTGACTTAAAAATGTTAGCCTATTTACCAATTCCTTTGCAAACGAGTTTAAAAGTGGTGTTGTACAGCAGTTTTTATACTTGTATTTCAAACTATTTTATAGTAAGTCTAAAATAGCTATTTCTTTCTACTGGTCTAGTCATTTTTCTCTCTTAGTTTAGTGGAAGAGGGGCAATGCTTAAAAAGCATTGGTAATGCCCCTTCTATAAAAAAATAGTTGGTTTTATATTCATAAACTTAGCCCATAAATCTACCTTGAAACAAGTAGGGGTGAAATGTTTCTCACAGAACAGTTCTTTTTACCAAAAGGAGAAATGTTTTCATGGTCTGTCCTCTTCCAAGATTATGTAGCCATTTCTTTATTTCCATTTTTTTCTTTGGATCTGATGGAGGGGTGGAGACATAAGTGTAATAACACCTTGTTTATTGTGCTTGTTGGTAGTACAACTGTATGCCTTACTCTTGGCTATGCTTCTTAGCAGGTGTTTGGATGTGAACTAATGGGGGACTGTATGAAAGTCAAAGGTATAGGCAGTCCAAGTCCACAAATAACACAATTGTATGGGAACCTGGGAATCTATAAGCTTCCTCAATTTTAATAACAAGGATTTAATTTTTTTTCTAACTTGAGTATGAAAGGAACATTTTTTTTTATTTTCTCCCAACTACTGGTAGTGTTTCATACATTTCAGCAATTTCTTCCTGAAAACTAATCACGTGATTAAGGTTTTGTTTCTGGTGTTCATTTCTTGCAGGTTTCCAGCCTTTTTAAAGCTGTAATGAACAGTAATTAAGTACATTCCTTATATCACGTAGTGATGTCTAATTTTTGTGATGTTTTTTTTTTGTGCATCATCAATAAAAAGGCCCATTCAAGCAACAATAAAAAAACATTTGGATTGGACTATTTAATAGCTTCCTTTTAATGTGTTTAAAAAGCAATTAGATAAATAAAACCTAAACTGAAGAACCCTAATGATCTCTGCTACTCTACACAATGTTTGCTTGATGGCCATGCTTAGGTAATTTATATAGAGAAACAGGATAAAAATTTTTAAGGTCCACTTTTGTCTATTTGAAATTTGATCAGTGTAGTGTGCATTTATCAAATGACAGTAAAAGCAAATTAAAATAAACAGCTGAATAAGAGGCTAAATATGAAATAAGAATGAAACGGTAAATTGCCTGTATAATTTATAATGGCAAGCTTCTTTTTCAAGTACTATTTAGTAAGCAAAAATACTGTGCTTTAATGTTTTATTTATTACAGAATTGTAAAAATTATTTGTACTTTATGGATAAATTACTTTTCTATATTTTATGATTTTACTGACAATAGATATAGTAATATAGAACTTTTAAATTGTTCTGCATATTTTTCCGTGGGTTTAAACTGTTTAATCATGGGATTCCGCAACACATTGTAAAATGCACAGGCATAAAGGTGTGTTCCATTAAGCTAATTACATGCACATATCTTTCTGTATACTTGTATATCACAGCAGAAAGACTGAAGGGAAGATGGTAGCTTCTAGAATCCACTATTATATAAAGGAAAACATCAATATTTAATTGTGGAATTTTACTAAACTATTTTGTAAGCCCTCTTTTGAGGTCTTAACATTCTTAGTTGCAGTTGTTAATTCTCTAGTTCCCCTTTAAAAGAAAAGTGTTAGTTTTTTACAGTATGCACAGAACCTTTACTATTATAAGTTTTGCTTTATAAGTTAGTTTTGTTAGTTAGTAGGATATAAAGAATTGCCGGTTAATTCATTTGTACCTGTATCTTAAAAAACGTAAGTAATGTGCTTATGGAAGCAGACTGTACCAAAGGTAGTTTTTTAATTCTAGTAATTATAGAAAATGCCCCTATGTACAAAGATTGTTTTTTTTTACTATAATACTTATAAAGGTTAAGATTAAATCTAAGAATCTCATTTTTCAAATGTATACTGAAGTTTTGTGTAAAAAGTGAAAAATCTTTCTTCAACTGTTCTTCAGCTCAATAAGAGTGTCAGTTTTCTTTTAAATGTCAAAGTAGACACGTTATACTAACAAAATCCATTATGCTACAAACGAAGTATTAGTTTGTTTACCACTAGGTCATGAGAATTTATCTGGTAGCTTTGTCAGTTATTGTTAAGTTTCACTTTGTTTTGTATGATTGGTCAATAATGATAGATATATCCAAATGACAAGTTTTGTTTTGTACCCCCCCCCCCACAATATTAGCCAAAGTATATTTTTTATCATTCAACAGAATAGAAAGTAATAATTTTTAATTTAGCCTGTCTGCTTAATACATTTCTTAAACCATCAAATCAGTTGTGTATCTTTTTTTACTAGTAACTGATTACAAATTGCACACGAGGAACATCCTTCGTATGTGTATAGAAGTGTCACCGATTTCACTTCCTATACTAATAACTAATTCATTACCATATTTAAATTGCACAGACTACAATAATTTGGTAAATATCAGATTCTCAATGGCTATGTTCAGAATATTGTTTTTTTCCCTTTATTCTGTCTCTTGTAAACCAAAGCAATAATCCAAACTGTGATGAATGGTAAAGTTCAATAAATTCTAGTTTCCTAAATATGGAGGTATTTTCATTCATTGATACTCAGATTAGTCACTACATCTGACACAAACTGAAAAGATTGAACAGATCAGGCTAAATTCAATTAAATGCTAGCAAGTGGAATGTGTGGTTGGTTTAAATGAGAAATACTGTGTAAAGTAACTTGGTATTTTTACTTGTAGAGGTGTGAAAACTTTGGTTTGATTTCTGAACTTCTGGCATCATCAAGACTTATCTGAAGAGAATTAAAAGGTGCATACTACATTTCAAAAACACTATACTTCTTCATACTGAGTTGTATTGTTTTTAAACTCTAGTGTGCATCATTGGTTCACTCTTGTTTTCATGTTTATACAAAAAACATAATAAACAAATAAAATAAATAACTTTTATGCCTTCAAGTTAAGTTGTGGCTTTGTACAATGACAGGAGAGAGAGAGAGAAACAATTTTCAGAATACTAAGTTTATTATATCAAGTCCAAGGGAGGTCCAGTTCAATCTACAATTTGATCAATATGTGTTATATTAGTTTCAGAGAATACCTATCCTCATCTGTAACCCTGAACACAAGTTAACTAAAAAGAGATAAGCTGGAACTATATCACAGTGAAAAGTATCAACCATACTGTTCATGTGAACTGAGTAGTGGACAATGACACTATTTCTTCACTTCACCAACCAGTGTATAGGTTTTTCTCATAGTGACTACAAGGCACATTCACATCAACAGTATGATTAACCATACGCTATAGTTACTATCTGACATTTGGGTGTTTAATATGTGAGGATGAGGTGAGCTGCATTTTAAAGGCTAACCCCATGTCACACCTTAGTGGGCCCTAAGGGTTGATACCAGATTTGGTAATAATTGGTATGGCACTTTTCAAATAATGGTTTATAGATGTAAGAACTGTTTCAAAAGAAGCAGTATCTTAATACCAATAAGTTTGAAAGTAACCAAGAATTTCTGCGTGTACCTTTAATGTCAACATACAACTACAAATTTACAGTAAACACCAGAGTATATATATATATATGTACATAAACAGTTTTGACTCATTCAATAGTACACTTGTGTATTGTGTAGTACACAAATCTTGAATAATTGGTTTGATAAAAATACGTAAAAAGATCTAGCTTTATCAAGAAGTGCAGCACAAATTCAAATTACAAAAATTTTGAACAGGACAAGGTAATATTTATATCTTATTACATATAGTTAGCTGATGATGATGGAGAAAGTGGGTAGCAGAATGTTATTTTAAATAATACTTCTGGTCATGGCATGATATCACATCTTGCCACAGAAACTTGTAGCAAGGCTACTTTGAGAAGAGGATAATAGGAAGAACATCTAATTGTTTGGCAACCTTTTTTTTTGTCGTTTTAAAATTAAATGTTTGATCTTACATATTTCTTGCACTCCATAAAACTATAATCCTTTACTGCTACATTGGTTCTATAGCTTTATTTTCAGTCAGACATCGTTATGTTTGGGGGTTGACAAAAAAACAATATTTATAGGGAAAAATATATCCTGACAAACCAACATAGATGCACTAACTTTACTAGCTGAAAAGGTACCCATTAATCCTTCCACTTATCTTGTCTTATGACTACATTCTTTCCTGAGGCATTTGTAGCTGAAACAATGATCATTTACAGTAAAGAATTCTGATGATTAAATCATTGTTTTCCTAGTTGAGAAAGCACATAGGACAATTGGTGTGTGTGTGTGAAAGTTTTATGCCACATTAGAACCACTCCCTAAAAATATCACATCCTTTACATACAAGCTTTCAAGATAACAGCACACAAAAGAAGATATATACAAATGTAACTTTGGTTGCTCCACAACATTGACATGATCTTTCAATCCGCTAATATCTGCTGCCCATAGCACCTACAAATGAGGTTCTATTATGAAACAATAGTTTTATTTTTCCTCAAACAAAGAGAAACTAGGCAGTATATACTTAAGACCTCCAGCTGCCTTGGATCATGACACAAATATAACAAAAATTCTCAAGAAGTCAGGCCAAAACTAAAGGCATTGTGGGGTTAAAAATGACAACAAAAGATGTCCATTCAATTCCTGTAAACACATACTGTACTGGAAGAAAACACACTCCACCAGAGGGTTGGGTGGGCTCAAAGTTTCTCCATAGCTGCTATCCAAATGGTTGGGCCAGCTTGCTCTTTGATGACCTGTTTTACCTTTGCATAGATCTCTTCAGTGGTATCTCCTTGAACAATAGCTAAAAGAGAAAAATCAGTCTTATTCTATATTGTACTTCAATAAATTTTCAGTCATAAGACTAATAGTGACAAAAACCTGTTTCTCATATAAAGACAAATAAAAGGAAAGCCACATTTAAATAATTATATATTTCATATCACCAGTATACAATTCCAGTTTTATTAAATAACTGGTAAAGTAAAAAATATTTATCTTTAGTGACATGTTTTAAGCATTAAATCTGTGTAAACATATTCAAAGTTTACTTATAAAGTACGTTTTATCAAAAACTGGTGTATAAATACAGCCAGTAAGAAAACTGAGACATTTTTATTATCTGTAGCTATGTTTTATAGGGTAATATGGTGCTTAAAAATTTATAAATGGGTGGAGTTTTGTTTTCACCATGAAGATTATAGGTGGGGAGTACCATAATCATTTTGAATGAACAGTGAATGCATAGTTGGATTCAAGTGCCTTGGTGAACAACAGAAGAGATGGGATATCCCCAGTACTATTTAGGTGCTATCACACAGTCATTCAAAAAAAAATAAAAAAAATTGTACCTTTTATTTTTATAGCTTGCATTTTTTTTTGTCTTGTCAAAATACAAGTTAGTTATATACTTATATCAGGTTTCATTATTAATTATAATTTTCTGAAGTTTATACTCTCATATATCAACATACTCAATTCTTGCTTTCTTTTAGCATCTTTGAATTTTCATGTTTTATATTATTCAAATTAACTTATGGTATATTGAGCCTTAAATGTGACACTTTTTATGGATAGAAGGCTCGTAAACTGATAGTAATAAGGTTAATTGTTTATGATTGATACACACAAAGTAGTACATATGAAAATATCCTACCTGTAAAATATTCAGCAAATTCTTGTTCAAGTTTGATAGCCCTATCATAGGTTTTCCTAGCTTGTTCTTCAGTAATCCTTTTGTTCATTTCCCTGAAAGATGACAATTGGGAAATTGTTTTATTAAATAATTTAAATTTTCTTTTAAATTGTTCAAACCCTTATTTCACAGTTTCACAAATATATAAAACTGTGCTGAAAAATACAGAATATTTTTTCATAATGATTTTAACACAAACCATAGAGAAATTTCAAAATATACAAGTTTTTCCTGGTAAATGTTGATATTGTTCATAAAGTGCAGAAAAAAAAAGACAAAACAATACTATCTCCTTCTGCATCAGGTGTTTTTTTTTGGAAATGAACTATAAAAAAAAGCAGTTTTTTTATTTTGCTTATTGTAATACATAACAATATGCCAATAAATTTGGGTAAATAATTTAAAATATAGCAAGAAATGGTTTGCCCAAATTAACTTGGGCAGATATTTTTGAAACATGGAGGACAAACAAGTTATTCTGAGCAAACCATGGAAGGGGTTAAAATACTACACGTAGCAACAAACTTATAGAACTATTTACAACTTGAACCAATTTAATTTTTCAATATAGTTTTCTTTACTACAAAGAATGATGCCACTCTTGTGAGATTTCTTTTAACCCTACGTATGCAGGTTGATTCAAAGCACACATTTCACAGCTTTTTAAAGAACTACATTTCAAATTTAATTAACTTTATTATCAATATACGAAAAAAAACCTGGCTTCAAGACGTGGGTTATAATTCAAGTTTTAATATTACACAAGTTTTTTTTTAATTTCTTACTTTTTCTCTGTATTATGTGACACTTCTTCACTCCAAATTGCCCACATTATATTATCCAACTTTTAGTTTTTATTCTTAACATGAAAATCACCTTGCATTTAGACGGACTCAGTAAAGGCTTCATAAATTCAGAAACAAAAATTCTTTATTAAAAAAATCTGATTTTCTTCTTTATTACTTCTTTACTGAAAGCTTGCCAAATTTTGAGAAGATACACTTAGTAAATTTAGAGTTATAGTATGTATACTTTCATGGTTACTGTTTACAAGGTTGGTCATTTGGATCAAGCCCATATAAATAGAGTTAACATATAATTTGTTTAAAAAATAACATAGACTACTGTCTACACACATATTAATACAATTTTCAACTATTAAAATTAACTTGACAATTACCTTGTACTTCAAAGGAAGGAATATTATGATTAATGAATATAAATTCAATAAAGTAACTTATAAATTTAAAAAATGCAAAATTCAATATTTATTTTTAGGCATGTTTAGAACCTCTATTTATGATAAATGTAACACTTGCTAGACATCTGACTTTATTGTAATATCTGTTTTGATATTCATAAAATCAGTTACAAATATATAAATAATTATTATTTTTGTGAAACAAATTTTCATAGTAATTGTAAAGAAATTCTTTTAACAAACCTTTGTTCAAGAAAAGCTTTCTATGAATTACTTTTTGAAAATAAATTACGTCTATATATTTAAAAACTCAAGTTCTTTTAATAGATAATTCTTGAATAATTTATCATTCAGATGAAAATGCACAAAAGTTAAGGGTAATCATATACTCACATTATAGATTCTACTGATTTAGGTTTAATGAAGATGGCAATGGGGTGCAGTCCTGCCACCTGTAGTCGTTTAATAGCATTACCACTGACATCTAAAATGCAATGTTTATTCTGAAACAGTTTTATAGAAGAAAAAAAAAAGATGACATATTAGAATCCTGGTTATACATGATCACCAACACAATTAAAGACTTCCCAAACATTAGAATTACCAGCATTGAGATGCCTGTCCATGGACTGAGTTTTTATTAAGTTTCCCATAAATATAAATAGTTAATACAGACTTTCCCATGTGACAGGTGAAATGACAACTAGTAATAACCTTACATCAAATTATCTTCTTCCAAAGAAGCAACAATTTTTTATCATTAAAAAAATACCTACCACTGTATAATTATTATGATTGTATATTTCCTTTATTTTCATACTAGTAATAAAAGAATGAAAATGACACTATTCTGTAGAGCATAATGTATTTAGTACACATTTTATTTAAGGTTTCATACATATTTTAAACAACCAACACATCCAGTTATAACACCAGAGAACTAAGACTTTCTTAAGTGGTATAACTTGTATGTAGTTTTAGGATTTAATACTAATGCAAAAATATTAGCATAGTTCAATAAGTAAGAGTTTGTGGTTTTAATTGTTCTTAAAACTAAAAAAAAATAACTGAAATATTTTGAGACATTACAACCAGAAAAAAAAACAACCAAAGAATAATAACCATTATAAACTAATTGTTCAATTAAAAATATTTTCCTGCTTTCAGAATTGTTCTACCCCATTACAACAAATATTCTATAGGTTAAAGTACCATTTTATATTTAATAGTGAATTAACAATTTCAACATGACTACACATGTTGTTTGTCTAAGCCATTTTCAATATTAAGAAATGGACTTTAACTATTTCCCATATGGTAGCTTTGTAAGATAGTAAATACGAGGTAATTAAGAAAAATTACCAGACTGAATATAATCTGTATGTATAGAAAAACTTCTGGTGGAAACAAACAATCATTATTTCATGAAAAAAAAAAGTTGCTACTTACTACTTATATTTGTGAAAAATATATTTTGAAATAATTATTTAAGTGTTCTAGCTCTTTATTTTCAGCCCCCAGAGTATCTTAAACTCTGTAAACATTCTCACCTTTTCTGCAACCTCCTTAACCGAGGCAACACTTGTCCCATATAAGTTGTCATTGTACTGACCAGCTTCGATGAACAAGTGGTTCTGGATGTCTTTCTCCATCTGCTCTCTAGAAGACACAAAATGATAGTCTCGACCATCAACTTCGTAGTCTCGTCTTAGTCGAGTGGTATCTAAAAAGCATTTCAAAAACTTATCTTACATACTGAAATGGGAAAATAATTTAACTCTCTGAAAGACAAACCTAATTCTCTAATTCTAAAAACCTTATGCTAGTTGGTAACGGATTAGAGTTCTTTGGTTGCTCCAGAATAATTAATGAATACTTTACTCATGATTTTAGAAATTATTCTTATTTTACTTTTGATGATAAAACATTTTAAGAGCACTATAAAACATAAATGCTAAGCTTGACATTCTCATATGATGACTCCAAAAGTAAATCTCCAGGGTGGTGGCAAACTTAAAATTTTGAACCAATCAGTCAAAGCTTATTTAATAAGCTTCATAACTAATCTATTATACTGAGATTCTAAAAATATCAAATTTTAACTATTTTTTTATATCTGGTAACACTTGCAAATATACTGTCAAATCAATAAACTATAAGATTAATTTTATTTTCCATTCATTTATTTTTAGTTAATAAATTTATGATATGGTCACTGTCTGAAATCTGGTTATACATAAAAATAATTTGATGAAAGTTTTACAACTTAAAGGTTAATTCAGTCTCAAATATAAGTTGTCTGACTAAGAAAACAAAAAGTGTAGCTAAAAAATACACTATGTCTGGAATCACCATTGTATGATAAACGTTATTATGTTTATCATAAAAATATGTTTGATCTTGCTGTAAAACTTTTTTAAGAACAAATAGTGTTTAGGAATTACACAAAAATAACATATTTAACACCTACAAAAATATATCCTTGTTTATAAGGTTAGCTTACACCTTGGTATCATACAAATAAAAATATGAAATCACATTACTATTAAGTAACAAAAATAGTAAAAAAGAAAAAAGTAGGAGTTAAAAATCACATTACTACAAAACCTTCTTTACAGTAATTATGTAACATAGATATAATTACATGCCAGTGTGTACAGTTAAAGATACCAAATATTTGGGAAGAAAAGGATATTTATATATTATATGCAGCTGGGTGTAGCCCTAGTTGTTAATGCACTGGTCTGTGGAACAAAAGGTCCAAGGTTTGAGATGTGATGCCACTGAATATGCTCTGCACTTTCATCTGTGGGCATATTATAAAGGTAACAACCAACCCAGTATTTGGTTCAAAGAGCCAGACAAAGCCTTGTTTCAGTGAGCACTGCTAGCTGGCTGCCTTCCCTTTAGTCAGTAGTTCAAAATTAGGGAATTCATGCCTGAATCCTAGAAGCTACTGACCCGATTGTTTGGCTCATGTGCGCATAAGGGCTGTTAGGTTAAACAAATCCATTTTCAACTTTATGGTATACATCTACTAAGCAGTATTATTGAGATATACATATGCTTATACAAGAAGCACAATGGGATATTAATAAAAGGGATGAAAAATAGTTTGAACCTCACAGGTTCTAGAACTTTCAACAGGCAGAATTATTATACACATTTAGCAGACAATATTTAAAAAGTATGTACTTGAAAAGCATCACTTCCAAGGAACACAACTACAGAACTGAATTTAAGGTAAAGCACTATATGGTACACGGTTAATAATACATAAAAAGTATTAATTTTACAGATAAATACTTCCAAGACACACAACTAAAGCACAATACTTGAAGTTGCACAGCATGTGGAGATATGTATACCAAAAGTATTAACTTAGAAAACAATACTTTGAATGTGTAGTAATGGAAAATAATATTTCTAAAATCAACATTTATTAACCCTATCACCCCCAGGTACCGTTTACAGAGCACGACACAAGGTTTTAGTGTCTTACATTCAAAATTTTATTAAACTACTTTTTGTTTATGTTATACCAATTAGAATAGCATAAAATAATTCATATTTTAATAGTATACAAGATTTAAGTTCTTAATTCTACAAGGCAATATTTTTAAAAATCCTGAATTTCCACTAGTGTGACCCACGTGACACATTTTCTCTTAGCATGTCATCATCCCTATTTTATCCACCACCCATCAAAAATGTATGAAATTAAATTTAAAATACTCTCTATAAAATTGTTATTGCTCAAACAAACCATAATTTCTATAGTCTTCAATTTTGTTTGGTTACAGAGCTATCGAATCAGACCCTTCCTGCCACACACACCTGTCACATCCTCTCTTTCACAATTCGTTGATAGTTCTCTCTTATGTTTCATTATATATTACCTATAACCAATAGAAAGTCAAGGTTTTCATCTATTAAATGACGTATCGTATAATGCTATATTCTGAACAGAATATCGTCAATTTCACTCATAGTACAAGATTCGTTCCCATGGAAAAGTTAGCGACTACCTTGGATGAATTTGTAACTGCTCTTGTCACATAGCCAGAAAGCCAAGAAAATTCTGAGAGGTAAGTGAATTTGTCTACTTTTTGCTTGTTATTACTATATATTCTATGATGCATTATTTAATTAAATAAAAATCATTAAGTGCATTACTATCTATACTATAAACAATTAGGGTTAACTCTCTTCGAAAATCTGAGAGCAAGCAAAAAGAAGATTGGGTAAGTACTTTATTTCTAGTTTTTCATATTTATTCTTTATTTATTATTATAAAAGTAACTAAAATCTAAAAATACAGATCTTTTTAAGATATTTAAGACTAGAGTAGGTAAAATAAGTAATAATAATAATACAATTAAAATCGTTAACGAAACATGCATGAAAGCAGCTCCTGCGTAATGTAATTCGATAGCGTAACATGAGCTGCATATTACCCGAGTGATTTACAACTTATAATGGCACAGATAGTAGTTAGACTCATTTCAAAGGGCAATAAAACAATAAAATTTAATTACTGAAAAAAAAAAACCGTTTGAAATGCATTTAAGAGATTTTATGGATTACACAAAGGAAATTTAAGATTTTTCAGATGAGGAAAAGTATTTTTAATTTTAACATGAAAATAACTTATCACACAGACTATTCAAAAGAAATACTCAATATATTCATGGACAAATCTTTATTTTTTATTAAAAATACCTCACTAAAAATATTTTTTTATGTGAAAGACTTATAATATTAACTGAAAGACTGCCAAATTTTACACACTATATTGAAAGTTAGAAATATTAAATCTATAAAGACTTTAATCGAGTACAAAGAGGTAACATGGTTGGTCAAACTGACCGAGCCTGTGTTGAGAGAGTTAATAAAAGTGTCATGTTTTCAATGCATACAGCTAAAGAACAATAACTTCCTTAGTTCACAACTACTGACAAAAATATCAGAAGGAAGGACTTAGAAAACAATAGTTTCCGTGGTACACAACTACCGACAAAAGTATCAGAAGGAAGAACCTAAAAAACAACAGTTTCCTTGGTACACAACTACCGACAAAAATATCAGAAGGACAAACTTAGAAAACAATAGCTTCCTTGATTCACAATTACTGAAAAATACTTGCAAAGTACATAATTAACAATGAACAATACACACTAACAAATAAAGCTGAAGAATTATGCTTTCAAGATATAAGATAGAGAATAAACAAATTTTGAACAATGTATAAAAAGTTTCAGTTTTAAAGAACAAGACATCTAAGGTACTTATTTAATAAACAATAATACTTACGAGGTATACAGCTACCAAACTGATCCGGTAGTTCTGATATGAGATCATCATTAATTCTATCTTTTATTGGACCAAGAATAATCACTGGCCTTGTATACATAACTAAAAAAGAAAGAAAACATAGATATATTAAAACTAATTCAATAAATCTTTACTTCAATCTAGATGCCAAAATGTTCAAGGTGTAAACAAGTTATGGGAAGAAAATGAAAAGATCTAAAAGCTGTATTTCTATGTTTTTAACCATTTATTTTAACTTTAGAAATTTATATCCATAAAATTAAGGCAGCAGCTAATTATAAAACATCTTTAACCAAAAGCTGAGACAGTGATTATTACAAATAAGCAATTTTAAAGCATATCACCAAATTTAAAATGCAATGTACCGTACAATTAGTAAATAACTTCAGAGAAAATACTAGTCTAATAATAATTAGAAAGATTAACAAAGTAAATAAAGGGGAATACTGCTTGTAATTTAGCATTGTGGTTTAATCACAGTGAAAGGTTCTACATGGAAAGTTCCACTCACAGAAAAAATATGATTCTCCAAAGATATATAGAAAGCTCTAATGCTTCATTGTGTTGCTGGATACAGAAATTAGTTCTGTACCACTGTTCTGCGTGACAGCACTAGTTACACAATTATATAACATGTTGCTCTGTACGTTGGATAAAAAGGAAAACAGAAATTACATTTCATTTTCTAACTGGAAATCTTTATGTCAAAATGTGTCCTTGCAAATTTTTGTATTTTAATCTTATTCTCCATAATGTACTATCAAAATAGCCCTCCCACTGTCTCCTTGCAAGCTTGGAGGCTTATATGCTAAACTTCAGGGTTCAGTCTCTGAAGTAGGCACAGTTCAGATAGCCTATTGTGCAGCTCTGTGCTTAAAACAAACAAACCCTACATGCACTGTGAGGTCAAAAATTGTGCATCATGACCTTATACAGTTACATTCAAAATTTAGTTGAACAACTTCATTGTTAATGCAGTCAATAGGCTTGGCATAGTTTATATTTTAAATTTTAATATTATCTGAGTTCTAATTTCTTATTTCAAAAGGAAGTATTTGAATAAATTCTCAATCATAACTTGTCTGTCATATGAGGCCCTTGCACTCCAAATTATCCATTTTAGAATTTCTTTCTATCCTTATATGGATATCAGTATATATATATATATATTACCAACCCAGAATATAAACTTAGAACCTCCAATCTTCTTGCTTGATTGAGAGATAGAAAAAAAAATGTCAAACCCACTGTACCATTCTGATTTTCAAAAAATATCAATAGTTCTCTCTGACATTGCTATTGGATTATTTACAACCAATGAAAAGAGAGCAGCTTTTTTCTTTACAACGTTCTCTATATAGGTTATTTCATTTCATCACTCATAAGTAGATACTTGGCCCCAGTTTCGTTGTTTGTGATTGTGGTATTCAAATTTGGAGCAGTTAACAGATTTTTTTAAATTTATGTATAGCTTAGTTAGAAAGCCAGTTAATTTCGTAGTCTTAGGACATTCTACTGTAGTGTCCAATATATTTTTTGTTCTAAAACATATAATTAAAATAAACATGAATTATATTGTGGACAAAGAACATCTTGACAAAAAAGTAAGTTTAATGTGTCCAGTCATCAACAGCAAAAAGTCCGAGTCCAGACATGAGTCTTAAATTTGTTTTCATGCACATTACTTATTTATTGTTGTAAAAGTAACTAAAATGTCAAATTATCATCTTAATAGGTTAGATAAGAAAGATTTATTAAAAACGTTCTTGTAATGTTTAGGCAACCACGTGCACATAGCATGGTGTGATTGTAACTCAAATGTTTGTTTACATAAAGCATACTCTGAGATAGTCTAAGTAGAGCTGTAAAACAATAAAAAGTGTTACTGAAAAAACTCTTTTGATATTCATTTAGAAGGTTCTACAGGCTGTGCAAGTTAAGTATGAAAATTGTAGAATGAAGAGAAGTATTATTATTCTTAGCATGAAAATCACCTTTCACTCAGATTGACTCAGTAAAGGCTTTGTAAAGTCACAGACAAATCTTTAGAAGTAATACATTTTTAAAAATTCTGTTTTTGTGTGTGTGTGTGTGTGTGTGTATATATATATATATATATATATATAACAGACTTAAAGTTAATTTTTTGATAAGTTGTTTAGGCAGAGTATTCATGATGAATCTAAGTTTCAGACTTAAAGTTTACTAAAAGCTTGACAAATTTCATGAATATACATGTAGTAAATTCAGAATTACAGTAAATATTCTTTTCCAATATGGAGTCAGACATGGCAAGAAAAAAATCATTACTTATTTTAAAAAGCATCAGACTGATTTACCTTCTTGTGGAGCAACAGCTTCATATGAAAGTATTGGTTCTTCCTGTCCACCTTATAAGAAGGAAAAACTTCATCTTATTTGTTACAAATCAAAATGAAATACAATTGTAAAACCTTTCTCAATGTGTTAAAAATGACTTAAAACTGTACTAAAAAATACAACCATGAAAACAAAACCTGTAATCACAGAGTGAATTTTTTTTTATTTGATTTAAGTCCTTCTTTTATAACATTTTTTATACATTCAATAAAATTAAAAAGGTGCAGTTTTTAATAACTTGTTTGTCAAATTAAAATTAGTTTGTTTAACTTCTACAGAATTAGCATGATTATCAAGCATAATTAATTCATTTATTTTTCCTATGTAACTTAACACTTAAGATTCAGTAACTTATTAGTAAGTTCCTACAATATCACACAGTGATATTGATTAAAAAGACAAGCGTACCTTTACAATTCCAAACAATTAATTAGTATAATATTAATTCAAACTTATATAATGACATCTCTCCCAAGTCACATAAATCAAAGTTTACATGTATTAAACAATCAAACTCTTTACTGAAGAACCCCAAAACAATAAGTGTTTTTCTTATAAATACACTGCATTTACTGATTAATCACATCCAATAAAATCTTATACCATAGTTATGATTTCTAAAGATTAAGCTTGAAAGATATTAAAAAATCAAACAAGGGAACCTACGTATGCTACCAGCTTCACTGTCACTGGTATTTGCTATACCAACTGGATCTGTTGCAAGAAAAAAGAAATAATCAACTCAATAAAACCAAACAAAACACTTGAAAATACAGACACTTCATTAACTTAAGACATAAACAATGTAAAAACACACCTTTTTTAAAAGTTTTTATATTATATTACAAACTGATCTTTTTATAGGGTACTTTTTTCCTGCATGTAAATAAGAACAAGAAATCTAATTGATAATAGACTGCAACAAAGAAAACTAAAAACAAAGGTTATAATTACATGCAAAATATTAGTTCACTTAACTGTTTTCATAGTTATTTTTATATTTTAAAGTAAATACTTTTATACATTTTCACATGTTCATACATGGCTCCAACAACTTGTAAATTCAAGTGTTTTTTTACCTTACAACACAATGATATTTTATAATATTTACTTCCAATTACAGGATAAATATTTAACTTCTTTGACACTTTTTACCCTTCTGTATTAATTATCTTCCTTGTCACTATTGTCTTCTCTATAATCACATTTACTTTAACTATAAAACAAGCAGCTAAATTACCTTCCCCATCACTAACATCTTCCCTATTATCATATTTACTTTAACTAAAAAACTGTTGACTTTAAGCTACAAAACCAAGCAATAAGCTTACTTTCCTCATCACTACCCTCTTCTATACTTTCAACTTTGCTTTAATACTACAAAAATAAGCAGATATCTTATTTTTCCCACCACTATCATTGTTTATAGTGTAATTTTTATTTGAAACAAAACAAAGTAACTAATATATATAATATTAAAAATAATTTTAGGTCTTAAAAAAAAAAACATTCATTCTAATCAGAGTTCCACTTTCAGCTTGATCAGTGTCTCTACAATTTCTACAATTTAACTGATAACACCTTTGTTTTAAGGTATATAAATATATCCTGGGATTAATTCTAGGTTACATAACTTTATGTATCCTGATTTATTTTTTCTGACCAGAGATCATCTACCTGTATACCTATGACAAATATTTAAGATCAATGAGAATAACAACTTTCTGAACACATACAAAGAATCAGCATGAAAGTTCATTATGAAGGATCCATAAATAAGTAATAAAACTTAAATCAATGATTGGTTGTAAACCAGTGTTTCTCAGATGGAGTTACTAGATGACTCCTGTTTCCAGGCTTCGGTTATCGCAAGCCCCCTCCCCCATTATCTCTACAAGGATGAAAAAATATAGCAATTTTATTTATTTAAATGAAATGTTGACTTAATGCAGACAGCTCACGACCCCCCTAGAAACTTGCTTACAACCCTCAAGGGGGATTCCTACCCCCATTTGAGAAACACTGGTGTAAATGCATCTAACTTGGCTGTATATTTTTGTACTGACAGATATGATCTCAGTGAATCCCTATAAAATGAAACATATTGTGCAATACAAGTGAGATGTTTGTGTAGTCATTCACTCTTTCCCTTCAAATGTGTATATAAATATATATTGATATTTTTGAAGAAACTGCTCAATTTTAACTAACCATTTTTTTGTTTCAATGCTTAATTGTCTAAATCTACTAGCTACTTTCTTATAATCAATCTCATTTGTTCAATAATGCTGTAAAAATATAATAACCAAGAGTACGTAATGCTTTGTACACGTGTGCATGAGGGAACTATTATTTGTATCCTTTTGGTGAATAGATTATTTTATGTCTAACAGTTTTAATCTCATGAATTTTGAAAACATGTTCTGAAAAAATTGTTAGGCAAAACATAAAGTAGAATATATTAGATGATGGTAATTTCAACCATTTACTGTAATGTAATTCAGTAAGCAAAATGTCATATGAACAAATGTTTAACTTACTTTCCCCATCACTACCATCTTCTGTGCTGTTCTCTTTGCTCTTCATGAAAGGGAACTTACGAGAAAATGAAAAATTCTTCTTTTTTCTATCTAGCGTACCCTACAAAAAATAAATAAATAAGGTTCACTACGAAGTAACACTAATATTGGAGCAGTATTTTTTAATTTAAACAAGATAGAAGTACCACTGCTTTAAAGTGAATACAGTTCCATTGTATAGTTGAATTACATTACTGAAAATAGGAAACTAAACTATTAAAAGTAGATTATGTATGTTGAAGTAAATCATCTGATAAATAATTACAAATACAAACATTTAGTGGAAGTTTTAAAATAAAGCATCAACTACCAATGAGGGTAGAGTACGAGTATTTTAGACCAGTGCAAAATTAAGTATACTAAGTATCACATAAATAAATAAAACAAACATAACACTTTTTAGAATATTAGGGTGGTTGTTTGACACCCCCTCCACTTAATAAATATCCTATGGAGTGATAATAATTGTACAGATCTCCAGAAAATGACATAATGTTAATGGCTAATGTTCAAATTACAGACAAATAAATAATGATAAATTATATCTATCATAACTTTATATATATATATATATATATAACATTCATATTGGTCAAACTGTTTTAACCCATCCTGTACATGAATATGCAAGGACAAATATCAGTGTTAATTGAGATCCAACTGATTACAAATACACCAAGGACGGGGAAGAAGTAAATGAACAAATGCCACTCAAATTATATTTTTCATATTAATCTGAATTGTGAGACTAAGCATAAGAACGAATAATTTATTTTATCAATGTGTGTGTGTGTGTGTGTGTGTGTGTGTGTGTGTGTGTGTATAGACAGTCTTACGTTTTGGTTTTAACTTAAATTTAATTACTTATTAATAAACTAAACAACTA